AAACGATTCTTACATTAGTGTATTTGTAGACCTATGTTTTTCATGAAGAATTGTTAAAAAACAATAGCCTAATAGCTGTTGTATGTCTCAGTCGACCACGAGCTAAAATATTTCAGTGATCTGCGCCCCGGCAACTCTCCTCCTCCCCCCCCTTTTTTCCCTTTTAAAAAAACTGCTGCTTTGTGGAAATCCACTTACTGTTTTAAGGTAACCATATTATTTTGCATTATCATTAATTAGAGCTTTGTCACAACGCCACATACGTTATTATTTTACTGTTATTCTATTTATCGTTTGTGGGGGGAGGGGGGGGTTGCTTATCTAGCGCCCTGTAATGTGAGTTGTCACGGGAACCCCAGCAGTGAGCATGCAATAGAACTCGGAACTGGTGGGGAGAGAGAGAGACCCGAGTGAGTAATGTGTCGGGTGTGAGGTCAAGGTTCCATCCAGCAAACACGACTGTGTGTGCAGAGATGAGGCAGGCTGGACGCGGCTGCGTGGATCAATAGCAAGTTCTTTCTTAGTCCATGTATGTTTCTGTGGTCCGCGGCCGCAGTTGTGCCACCGAGTGTCCTTCGGCGCGCCGCTCCTTAGATCAGCGGGCATCATGCTGAACTAAGGTACTGACGACCCTGGTTTGAATCCCCGACATGGTATTCTCGGGCTTGGATTGCTGGGGGACCTTTCGAGCCCGCACCCACCCTTTGGGCTTGGTCGGTGATTTCCAGGGTCACGCCTCAGAAATTACTTTGCGGTAATTGTGTTTACAGAGGCGTGAAAGTCGTATCATATCAGACCAAGTGTCCCTGAAAATTTCATGTTCGTCGGGCGTTAGATTCTACCGTTCGCACACTATGTCACCAGTCCATCTTTCCTCTGACTTACTTTTGAGCTATCAGATATGGACTTAATTAAGTTCGGAGGTTCCTCCCACTAAACAATCTGGCAGTGTTGAAAGGAGCGTTGAACCTGTTCCATGTCACACGCCTCTGGCTTTTCTTTGCTTTTTAAAATGTTTGTTGAATGCCTTACTCAGTGAGGGGGCGGGGGGTACTTACTTTATATATTTATGTTGTTGTTGTTGTTGTTGGATTTTTTGGCGGTTTTTGTGGGGGGTCGGGTTTTTTGGTTTGTTTGTTTGTTTGCTTGTTGTTGTTTTGTTTTGCTTGGGGGGGGGGGCGCTTGCAAGAGGCAGTATGTGTGTCATTTCTAAGACTAAGCATCTGTTGTTCATCTGCAGGGTAGGCCCACTGGAATGCGAGGCCCTAATTTTAAATACCTTCTTAAGCTATGGTAGGCTACATCAAGTTTCTGTCCAAGAAACATCTTTGTTTTACAGGAGGGGGAGACAAACTAATAAAAGTCTGGCTGTTACTGTTAAGTTCGTTGGGTTGCAGTTTATATTTACATCAAGTCTGATCGAAACAGCTGAGGCACTTCACCACCTTGTTGGGACAGATTTATAATGATCATTCTGGAGAAGAAAAATAATTACATGTAACAGGCTACACCATGTCCTGTTCTCTTTCTGTTTGTCAGGGGGGTTCTCTCTCTCTCTCTCTCTCTCTCTCTCTCTCTC